TGTCCCTGTCCCTGTCCCCGCTGTCCCTGTCCCTGTCCCTGCTGTCCCTGTCCCTGTCCCCGCTGTCCCTGTCCCTGCTGTCCCTGTCCCTGTCCCTGCTGTCCCTGTCCCTGTCCCTGTCCCTGCTGTCCCTGTCCCTGTCCCTGTCCCTGTCCCCACGCTGTCCCCGTCCCCAGGACGCGGTGCGGGTGATGGCGAAGGACCTGGTGCGGACGCGGCGCTACGTGCGCAAGTTCATCGCCATGCGAGCCAACGTGCAGGGGGTGGCGCTGCGGGTGCAGACCCTGAAATCCAACAGCGCCATGGCCAGCGCCATGCGCGGGGTGACACGGGCCATGGCCACCATGAACCGGCAGGTGAGCGCACCTGGGGACACCTGGGACACCTGGGGACACCTGGGGACACCTGGGACACACCTGGGGACACCTGGGGACATCTAGGCCATGGTGACACCACAGACACAGACGGGAGGCAGCGAAGTCACCTGCGTGTCCCCACTGCCACCCTGCTGTCCCCCGTGTCCCCTCAATGTCCCCATTGTCCCCAGTGTCCCCAGGCGTCCCCTGATGTCCCCGATGTCCCCTGATGTCCCCAATGTCCCCTGATGTCCCCTGATGTCCCCAATGTCCCCTGATGTCCCCTGATGTCCCCTGATGTCCCCGGTGTCCCCTCCCAGCTGAAGCTGCCCCAGATCCAGCGGATCCTGCTGGAATTCCAGAAGCAATCCGAGCTCATGGACATGAAGGAGGAGCTGATGAACGACGCCATCGACGACGCCCTCGGGGACGAGGATGACGAGGATGAGAGGTGGGGACACCTGGGGACACCTGGGGACACCTCAGGACACCTGGGAACACACCTGAGACACCTGGGGGACACCTGGGGGACACCTGGGGATACCTGGGGGACACCTGGGAACACCTGGGGATACCTGGGGACACCTGGGGGACACCTGGGGACACCTGGGGACACCCAGGGGACACCTGGGGATACCTGGGAACACCTGGGGATACCTGGGAACACCTGGGGATACCTGGGGACACCTGGGGGACACCTGGGGACACTCAGGGGACACCTGGGGGACAGCTGGGGGCACCCAGAGGACACCTGGGGACACTTGGGGACATCAGGGGATACCTGTGGACACCCAGAGGACACCTGGAGACAGCCAGGTGACATCCAGGGGACTCTTGGGGACACCCAGAGGTACTCAGGGGACACCTGGGAACACCTGGGGGACACTTGGGGACATCAGGGGTACTCAGGGGACACTTGGGGACACCCAGCAGATACCTGGGGACACTTGGGGACATCAGGGGACGACCTGGGACATCCAGGAGATAGCTGGGGACACCCAGAGGACACCTGGGGACACTCAGGGGACAGCTGGGGGACACTTCAGACCGCCAGGGGACAGCGGGGGGACACTTTGAGACACCCAGGGGACGCTTGGGGACACCTGAGGACACTCGGGGGACACCAGGGGACACCCGGAGACACCTGGGGACACCTGGGGGGGAGAGAGAGCAGGTAAAGCTCACCTGGGGACACCTGGGGACACCTGGGGACACCCAGGGGACACCTGGGGACACCTGGGGACACCTGGGGACACCCAGGGGACACTCAGGGGACAGCTGGGGACAGCTGGGGACCCTGGGCGTGGGGACAGGGAGGGGACAGGGTGGCAGGGCTGTCCCCTCGTGCCTCAGTGTCCCCTGTCCCCGCAGTGACGCCGTGGTGTCGCAGGTCCTGGACGAGCTGGGGCTGAACCTGACGGACGAACTGGCCAGTGAGGATTGGGGGGTTTGGGGGAATTTGGGGATTTTGGGGAAATTTGGGGGATTTTGGGGAGAATTTGGGGATTTTGGGGGAATTTGGGGATTTTGGGGAGAATTTGGGGATTTTGGGGAGAATTTGGGG